TAACACACACACACACACACACACACACACACACACACACACACACACACACCCCTGCAGAGTCTCGTTCACACAGAAATCAAACAGATCTCTAATTTTGTTCGGGCCAGATTAAGACTCTCTGTGATGCCGCGCTCTATAATGAAGCTGTATCATGCCAGCAGAGCAGATTAGAGTTCATTTGACCTGGATTGAAGGATTTTCCTTTTCATATGTCATCGCTGATAAGGGTGATACTACAGAAGTAGCACACATCAAGGGCATCAGCATCAGGACGTGTTGGACTCGAGGAAGGAAAGAAAGCACTTGATTTAAATGTAAAGATACAGAAAGAGGAGAGTAGACTAGGGCCGCACGATATTGAAAAAAATTGACATATTGCGATATTTTTTCCCCTGTGATATATATTGCGTTTTTTTTAACTATATTTAACCGGATGAAGGATTTTAGTCACGGGCGTCTGGATGTTAACTGGTTGACTCATCATACCTTAAGTCATGATCTAACATGTCATGATAATGCATGTTGCTTACCCTCAAATAAGGGGGTTCATCTGTGAAGAAGAGAAGAACCTTTTTGTATCCAAAATAGTTCCAGATGGCAGATGTTGCTTTTCTTTTTGGAAGTAAATCTTCATTCTCTCCGGTATTGTCCTCCTCTGCCTCGCTCATTGTTTAACGGTGTTTTGATGGTCTGCAAACTAGCGGGGCGGGGCCTGCTGTGATCTGATCAAGAATGATTGTGATTGGTGGTTTGCTGTGCATGCAGAGCCTGCATGTCTCTCACTCAAGTACCCCTGACATGAGAGCCGCACAAGTTTTCCTTTTGTAGCAAGCAGCAAAATAATTGTAACATGACGTGTTTGAGTTAATGTACCTACTTAATATCGCACGGCCTAAAAAAAAAGAAAAGAAAAAAAAAACAACAACATTATTAAACAAAATTAATAAAATCGCACGTCCCTGCGATGTGAATATCGTGCATGCGCATATCGCGGTTATCACCATGACACGATATATCGTTCAGCCCTGGTGTGTGTGTGTGTGTTCTCCTCTCCAGACATCCTCCGGCAGGTGGATTACGCCCACTAAACCCATTACTGTTAGCACAGGGGTCTCTACTCAGCTCACTGCTCTCATTGGCTCAGACACTTACTCGCTGTCTTAACTCTTTCTACTACAGCCAATCATAACACTCTCAGTCTGCGTCATATGACCGAGATCAGAGATAACAAATCAAATGTTTATAATCAGATAAGAGAAGTCATTTTAAAAGGAGACATGCAGGTGTATCCATAGTGACAGTGCAGCACCGTGAGCGTCCACTGGCAGCTTCTCTCTCTCTCTGTTTGGGCATTAGGGTCTCATTTGTTTTCACTTATGTTTCCCCATGATTATCCCAAACAACTAGCTGGCTTGGGTTTAACAGGATACATGTGACAGGATTACGTAATCAGTAGGTAACTTTATTCCCTTACAGTTACATCAAAAAATATCACATTTCTAAAAATTGTGGATTACTAGCAGGATTACAATGTTAAAGGTCCTTAAGGTGTTAAATAAGGAGCCCCTCCCCACGCCCCTCTGAGAGAGATTTGGTTACAAAGAACACAATGGTGCTCTAGGAGGAGATTCAGGTGATAAGGTGTGTGGAGGGGGGTTACCTTGGTTGCTGATTGGCTAATGGTTACACAAGACAACACATCGTTATGACATCATAAAGTGGCCAAAATCTGATCAGCTCATTTTCAGACAGGTTTTTATAGAAATGGATCAAAAAGAGAGAGAATCTTTGTTCCTGAAACTTTCAGATACTCTTTCCACAGAGGGGACACATGTTGATGTAGAAGAGACATGAAGAAGAGGGGACACATGTTGATGTAGAAGAGACATGGAGAAGAGGGGACACATGTTGATGTAGAAGAGACATGAAGAAGAGGTGAAGTCTTTAAAATGCCAACATGTTTTATGAATCCTTTCCCAAAAATGCATTAATTAGAGAGAGATCAAATGTGTCGTTTATGCACAGAAGTTGTTTTCACTTCAAAAAGGTTTTGTTGTAAAATACATCAGTACACACTCGTTAGCAGCGTGCTAACTGATTCCAACACTAATGTTTACACCTCAGTCTTCCGTTTTTATTGCACTTTGAGAATAAGAAATATTAAAGACTGTAAATATCTAATGTTGCACTGACCTTGCTGTCTCTGCCGCGCTGGGACTCAAACTGCTCATCGGACATTTCTGCAGGGAAACCACACGACACCATTACACCTGTTCATCTCCTACAATCTTTAAAACTCTTAATGTTCCATCAGTTGTGTTGGTTCTCTTCCTTACACCCACCAGATACATTTATTTTAATTCTTTAGATATTTTTTAATTAATACACTTTTGGTTGTTAACACATTTAATTGTATTTAAGGTTTATAATCCATATTATGTTTTGGAGATGTTATCTTGTGTTAGCATGTACACACACCTGTCTCCTCCTCTTCCTCCAGGCACCCTGCTGTGACTTTATAAGGAACGCCACGCTCTTCCTCATCCTCCTCTTCCTCCTCCTTATCGCTGTCAGACGACATGGTGACGACTCGAGGAGACGGCGCCTCCCTGCTGCAAACACAAACATATCATACATTTAAAAATAAATAATATATATGTCCTTCCTCCTCCTAACTTAAAGAGTTTTGATGGCAATTATGTTTAATTAAGAATAAAAACACTTTTTCGACATACTATACTCTGACTTTTATATTTGAATGCTGTGCTATGACTAGTTTTCGTATTCTTCGATGGAGGTTAGTGTTTTTTGAAATGACCAGCAGCTGTGAAACAAGCCAAACATTTACCCGAGGTTCGCCACTTTCTGCTGAGGTGCATTCTGGGAGATCTGAACACTGCTGGGAGGTCGGAGGTCGGCGAGTCGCTGCCTCATCCTGATGGTCAACTCTGGACAGAGACGCCACACGAAGATACAGCTGCACACACACACACACACACACACACACACACACACACACACACACACACACACACACACACACACACACACACACACACACACACACACACATGTTGTGATGTTTGAATGTATGATATGTTGTGAAGTGCTGAGTTTGTACAATTGAAAATAAAGACAGTTTTCATGAGGATCCTTCTGTCGGAAGTTAACACACACTCTCAGTTTACTGTGTCGTGAACATGTGTGTGTATTGAGGCGTACCTGTCTCCAGACACTGTGATCAGGTGTCTGCAGTCACTGGTGAACTTCAGACCTGTCACAACCTCTGAGGGACAGAACAAGAACATGTGTGTGAAAAACTTTACTAAACCACTCATAAAGCCACACTTACAAGAACATATTTATTCAAACACACACACACACACACACACACACACACACACACACACACACACACACACACACACACACATTACTGACCGGAGTGTCCGAACATGGTGGCCACACACTCTCCGGAGTAGAAATCAAATATGCTGATGTTCTTATCCGAACAGGAAGTGGCGATGTAGAGACCGGAGGGGTCGATCTGCACCTGAAGAGGAAGAGGATGAAGAGGAAGAGGATGAAGAGGAGGAGTGAGTTTACACCTGAAGCTAAATTGTTATTAATAATCTATAAAACATTTTAGCTAAATGTAGTGACCTTACCTTAATGAGAGTCCCGTCCTCGCCCTGAGAGCCTTTATACATCTTCTTCTGTTTACCGTTACCGATGTTGAAGATCCTGCAGGAGGAAGAGGAGGAGGAGGAAGAGGAGGAGGAACAGAAAATAATAAAGTTATAGTACAAGTCCAATTAGTTCTCTCCCAATAATTCTGTGTTGTCTTCATTTAGCAGTGTGTGTGTTTCTATATTATATTATGGTGATGTCTATCCCAAAGATTTGAAGGTGTACACATTTCAATTTCCTTTCAAACTTGGTTTATTGTGCATTTGTTGGGGGTTCATTTAATTGTAGAGCTTACATGTTATTTAATTATTTTCCTTTATTAACTTATTTATTATCTCTAATTATTGTATTTGTATTATTTATCTGTAAATGGTTCTGTCCTTGTGCAACAACACAATTGCCCAAATGGGGTTTCTCTTGTCTTATGTCCCCCTCTGACCAGCAGGTGGCAGTCTAATCAAACGGGTAAACACACAGAAGGAAAGCCAGACTAGACACCATTTATATTTAATATGAAACATGTAGACAATAAACCAGAATGCATGAATGATGAATGAACACGTGATTTAATGACGGCTGCTGTCTGTCTCTGTGTTCGTGGTGCGTTCAGGTGCTGCTCTGGACATTTGAAGTTCTGCTGCCGACATTAAAATATTAAAATCAAACCTGGAAAACCGTCAATAAACATGGAAGTTATTACAAAGATGCAGAAACTATTTGCTGTTGACTTCCGTGGCAAAGGAGTTCCCACAGCACATCATATTTTTTAATTTAGAGCAACGTGACGAGGTAACAGAGAAGAAGCAGCAGGATGTAGTTTCTAATCAACAAAGGAAGGAGAGGAAGTGAAAAGGAAACCAGAAAAGTGGGTTAGAGGAGATAAAATAAATGTAAATAAAGCAGAGGAAAGATGTAGGAAACAAGAAACATAGAGAGGTAAAGGAAGGAAGAGAAAGAGAGGAAATTAAATAACGAGACGGGATCCTGGGAGTTAATCCTAATCTTCCTCCTGGTGCCTGCTGGGTAATAATCCTGCCTGCAGACTACACACACACACGCACACACACACACACACACACACACACACACACCATTCTGAGAGTGAGTGTGCGTGTGCGTGCGTGCGTGCGTGCGTGAGTGTGTGTGTGTGTGTGTGTGAGAGAGTGTGTGTGAGCTAGTGAGTGAGTGAGTGAGTGAGTGAGAGTGTGTGCGTGTGTGCGTGTGTGTGTGTGCGTATGTGTGTGTGTGTGCGTGTGTGAGTGTGTGTGAGTTAGTGAGCGAGTGAGTGAGATGTGTGTGTGTGTGTGTGTGTGTGTGTGTGTGTGTGTGTGTGTGTGTGTGTGTGTGTGTGTGTGTGTGTGTGTGTGTGTGTGTGTGTGTGTGTGTGTGTGTGTTACCTGATGCTGCGGTCCTGACAGCCCACCGCTGCGTACTTCCTGGTGGGCTCCACGTCCATGTCGTACAGCGTCGTCTTCCTCACCACGTGATGAGTGCGAGTGAACTGCAGACCCTCCTCCAGCTGCGACACCACAGAAGAAGAAAAGACTCAATTCAATTCAAGGCTTCATTGTCATGTGCTCAGCAGCTACAGTGGAGATATGGCAAAGAGAAACTTCAGTCACAGGCTCCTCCAACAGTGCAACATGAATATAGGACAGAAAACAAATCAAATAGAAATGGAGTTATTAATGTTAGTCGGAAACACACAAGTAAAGTGAACATCCACATGTAAAGACAATTGGACCACCAGAGGAACTTCTCTTGGTACTCTCGGTAATTAACTGCAAGACTTGATTATTAGATAATAACGATGTGCATTTGTTCATATTCATGTTGTTCATGTTATGTTTATTTAAACACATCTTCCGACTTCAAACCCAACTGTTTCCATCGGCCAATAAAACGATATATCTTTCTGCATGTACCAGCATGCTGAATGACTCGTAGAGCTTTGAGGGGTCGGAGAGAGCTGAGAAAGGGATTTGTATCTGCAAAGGAATTTAAAGAATCTGTTCCACTGTACAAGATTTCTCTCTGAGATGTAGATTTGAAGTAAAAAGGAGAACTGGATAATACTTAAGTACAGATACAAAAAGAAGTGGAGTATTTGAGTTCATACACTAAGTTACCAAATACCATTACAATAACTAGATTAACTAAATTAATTAATTGAGTAGCTGGAAATGTCCTTTCTTCTCACCTCTTCTTATACATTTTCCCTTTCCTTCTTGTCGTGTAATTTCTTTAATATGTTCATTTATCTATATATCCAATATGTGTGTGTGTTGTGTAAGTCGTGTTTCCTCCTCTCACCTGCTGAGCGGTGCGGAAGTAGACGCTCTTATCGGCTCCACAGCTGATCATCCTCACTTTGCCCTCATTGGCTGAAAGACAGGAAGAAGGCGTGATGTCACAGAGGAGACACACATTAACAGCAGAGTTTATATAACGACATCTTTAACGCATACTTGTCAACCCTCCCGATTTTCGCGGGAGACTCCCGATTTCATTGCCCTCTCCCGGTTTCCTCCCGGGGTCATATTTCTCCCGTATTTCTGACAAAATCAGATTTACTCAGGACTGTTTCCACTCGGACCTTAATACAGCTTCACCATTGTTTGGTTTCCATGGTAACACGTCTCTTTAGTAGCGCGCGCAACTCAAAGTCTGAGAGAGTGAGGCAGATATTCACAGAGAACAGAACAAAAATCGACAACTGCTCTACTCTCTGCTCACTCCTTTTTCCAGCCCACACATATGCTCCATCAAGGACGGTGCTACAGGCCGCAAGGCAGTGCACTTACAACTACAATAAGCATGTTAATGTTAATCTAACAGCTCCGGCGATCCACTAGCAGCACCCCCCCCCCTCCCCCTATTTTGAATTTTGAAATGCTCCCGATTACTGAGGTCTCAAGGTTGGCAGGTATGCTTTAACGTGATAATAATAATCTTTGTTTGTATAGCACCTTTCATACAATAAGGTGCTTCACATAGACATTTCACAGAACATTGATATCACACGGATAACACAGGTACCAGTCAAAGACATCAAAACAAATTAAAAATAACAAATAGTAGACATGTAAAAAATACATTTAGATTAAACGATGAAATTGTGCAATAAAAGGGGGATAGTGTAAATTCGACACACAATCAGATGGCAGGTTAGAATGCATAGCAAAGCATTGAGAAAGGCCAGCAGACAGAGAGCAGGAGGTTGCTTCATAAAAGGCTCATTTGAACAAATGTTTTGTTTTGTGATGCGGGGTCAGAGGTCACGTGACTGACCGGCGAATCGTACGGCCGTGATGGAGGACGAGTGTTCGTCCAGCGTCTGCACCAAGCTGTACTCCCGGCCCGCGTCCAGGATGTGGATCAGACGGTCCCGACTGGCCGTGGCTAACAACTGGAGACCTGAGAGACACACAGAGGAAATGTGGGATTAAAGAACATCCTATTATGTTTTGGGGGTTTTTCCTTTCCTGTATTTATTCATTTATCTTAAAGGTCCCCTATCATACTGTTTTTCATCAATATATCACAGGTCTCAGATATATCCAGAGCATGTCTCTGATTGGCTGAAACACCAAACAGATCATTGCAGCATTACCCATAATCCCCTCTGTTTCAGCCCTGTTTCCAAAGTGCTGATTCTCTGTCTGTTACTTTAGAAGAAAATAAGGAGCCCCTCCCCACGCCCCTCTGAGAGAGATTTGGTTACAAAGAACTGAATGGTGCTCTAGGAGGAGATTCAGGTGATAAGGTGGGGGGGGGGTTACCTTGGTTGCTGATTGGCTAATGGTTACACAAGACAAAACCTCGTTATGACATCATAAAGTAGCCAAAATCTGATCAGCTCATTTTCAGACAGGTTTTTATAGAAATGGATCAAAAAGAGAGAGAATCTTTGTTCCTGAAACTTTCAGAGTCTCTTTCCACAGAGGGGACACATGTTGATGTAGAAGAGACATGAAGAAGAGGGGACACATGTTGATGTAGAAGAGACATGAAGAAGAGGGGACACATGTTGATGTAGAAGAGACATGAAGAAGAGGGGACACATGTTGATGTAGAAGAGACATGAAGAAGAGGGGACACATGTTGATGTAGAAGAGACATGAAGAAGAGGGGACACATGTTGATGTAGAAGAGACATGAAGAAGAGGGGACACATGTTGATGTAGAAGAGACATGGAGAAGAGGGGACACATGTTGATGTAGAAGAGACATGGAGAAGAGGGGACACATGTTGATGTAGATGTAGAAGAGACATGAAAAAAAGGGGACACATGTTGATGTAGAAGAGACATGAAGGAGTGGATTTTGCATAACAGGTGACCTTTAAAGGGACAGTCAAGGGGCTCCAAAAATGTTCACAGAGAAATCAATGGATCCTTACCCAGTATGGCGAGCACCCGTGTTGTCCTTCAGCACCTCCATGGATCCGAGCAGAACGAAGTGAGGGCCGCAGAGCGTTCTCCCTGGCGATCAGGAACTCTCCGGGGCGCAGAAGAGGTCTTGAGATGAGGAGAGCGAGCGCAGACCACCCCCTGCTGGCCGGACTCGAAGAAGAGCGGCAGGCTGCAGCAGCTCGCTGTTCAGATGCATCGCGATGTCCGCACGCAGCTCGTCAGAAGTCCTTTCAGCAGCTGGGGGTAAGAGGACGGAGAAATTCAAATCTGCAGCCACACAAAGATACACAAAACAATATGCAAACTTTTCTTTAAAGGCTTAATCTCAGAACTGTTACAGATGTGTTTTTTTTATAAATTGTGTAACTATTTTAGGTGCAACAGAGTGAAAAGGAAAAATTTGATTTATGGAAAGTGAGAGTTTGTACCTTTACCGTTTGTCCCCATCGTGTATCTCGTTAAAAGATTATCTCGATGTAATGTAATGTCATTTGAACATTAAAACTAGACCCTCCAGAAAAACGCGATTCTGCGAGCGCAGAATTTACCCGCATAATCGCAAATGGCGCAGGATTTTTAAAAGGCCGCATTTAATTCCCGCAGTTTTTCACAAAGTGAAAAAAAAAAAATTAACTCGTCTTGGACGTGAAGTAAGG